TGGCTGCTGCATGTGCTACCCTGGCTGATGGGCACCCGGCCCCACCCAGCTGGGCACACCAGGCTGCTGGGGCAGCCAGCACACACTGGGGACAGCCAGCACACAGAGAGGGGCACTGGTTCCTCTGAGTGATTGCTGGGAGCTGACACAGCCAGGGAACTGGAGAAGAGCCGAGCTTCCGTCTCCAGGAGCTCTCTTTGCATCCCTGGATGTCAGATTTGAGTGTTTGTGCTTCTCCAGCTTTGTTTCCTTACTCCTTCCAGAGAGATTTCTTGCTGATCCACACGGGGAAGGTGAAAGCTGTGTTTAATAGTGGGGTTTTATGCTAATCATGATGAATTTACTGACAATAATGGATGTGATGCTGATCGCTTTCATTGCTCAGTGCCTTTCAAAATGCCAGTGTCAAATCAGTCAGGTAATGCTTGATCTATTTTTTAATGCAGTTTATTACTGTGTGGCTTTTGTATAAACTTACAAGATGTTTGAGTCTTGGACGTACTGTATTTTTCCCCTTTAGTAAATTAACTAGGTGATTTATGACTTTATATTTTTTTGGAGTTCTTGTATGTCGAGATGTTTCTAAGATTTACTGTTGAAATAAAACCAATGAGTCGTTTTTTCTTAAAAAAAAAAAAAGAGCATGTGGGTTTTGTTTATAAAATGATGTCTCTGTGCTGCTTTTTGTTATTGGGTTTTTATTTTCTTGTCCTGGACTTTTTTTTTTCTGCTTTCTTCAAAACTCAGCATTTCCTGCTTAACTCCCTGCCTTCACCAAGAATTTCTGAGCAAACTTCATGCATTTCCAGGAGCAAAAAAAAGGATTCACCCAGTTCCTGTGTGTTGCTGATGGTTTTTAGGGACAGATCCCAGTGCAGCAGGGGCAGTGCCAGGTCCACAGCACACTCTAGTGGCTGCTACTTACACATTTAATTGCTCCTTTTCACCCAAAATGTCCTGGTCTCTGCCTCGAATCGTGTGTTCTGGTAAGTTAAAAAGCCGGGTGTGTTTTAAGGGTGGGTTGATGTACAAGGAGAGGGAGGAGGAGCAGCTTGGGAGGGTGGGAAAGTTGAAGCTGGAGTTGGTTAAGGGGTTTTTATTTTAATAAAAATTATTATTATTATTATTATTATTATTATTATTATTATTATTATTATTATTATTATTATTATTATTGTATTTTAATAAATGTAAATGTGAGGGTGCTGTAAAATATGAGATAACCCAGAAATCAGGAGGTGGCACAATTGTGGTTAAACTTCAGGTGGTTTAAATGAAATGGGGAGAGTGTTTTGGGATACAGGAGAGCATTTATCCCTTACAAAGAAGATCTGTGGGCTGTAGTGAATTTTCAGCCATCCTTCACGGTGTTTGGGTGGGAGTGGTGTCAACCTGACAATCACAAAAGTCAACCCTGTGTGATTTTGCTTAATAAATGATTGATTCGGAAACTCCTGACCCTTCCCATTCCCTAGGACCTGAGGCAATTAACTCTTGGCTCACAGGCCATGGGGACTGGAGGGAGGGATGGTGCCTCTGGGAGGTTGAGAGATGCAGCAATTCCCTGCTCTGCTGCCTTCCCAGAGAGCTGATGAGAAAATTGTCTTCAGGTGGGTGAAGAACGCTGATCTGATTTAATCCCTGTGCTCCCGGCAGGGGTCTCACAGATGCATCCTTAACCTGATTTAAAGAAATGCTCCTTGGCTGCTCCCTGAAAGCCTGAGACAGCTCCACAAAATCCCAGAACTGTGAGTTATTTCGTGTGTGAG